TTTTCTTCTGAGCTCTTCATAACTTTTTAAAATCCAACAACCATAAACTGTTCTATCCTGGGTGGCTTCTCAGGATTCCCAAACTCCAAAGCATAGCTCTGTAACATACTAACAAGGATTTGCAGCAAAAAGGATATATATTTATAATGAATGCTGCCTTAGCTATCCTATTTCTTTATATAGTGAAAAATCAAACAATGGTTTTAGATCCATACTCTTCAATATTCTCAAGCTCTTTACCAAACCCCTTATCAAGGAATGAATTGAACCGATTTTTAACTTTTAAATCTCATTTTTCATCACCCCCATTTAATAGGAGGATTCTATTTGAAGAATCCTGTGCAGCAAGCGTGAGCATTTTATGTATCAAATCTAAATGGTGATTTGACAATCTTTCCAGTGCAACTCCAAAAACAGGTAAATAGGGAAACTGCAGAGCTGGATTTGTTTGTTGATTTTTGTGAGTAAATGCAGTAAAATGTATTCATGCCCATGGATAACACTGTTTGTGCTGGTCTGCATTCAGTTCTATGCTCCCTCCTACCTCTTTTTAATATAACAACTACCAACTGGTTTATGGATATAAAGTATCAGGCATTTAAATATGTTTCTATCGGGCTCCTGGGTGGCTCAGTGTGTTCAGCCGCTGCCTTCGGCTCAGGTCATGATCTCAGGGTCCTGGGATCGAGTCCCGCATTGGGCTCTCTGCTCAGCAGGGAGCCTGCTTCCCCCCTCTCTCTGCCTGCTTCTCTGTCTACTTATGATCTCTCTCTGTCAAATAAATAAATAAAATCTTAATAAATAAATAAATAAATAAATAAATATGTTTCTATCACTGTCATTCACTGATCTATTAAGCCTATCAAGGCTCACTAGGGGCCTCCTAAATGCCAGAAGTGGTGCCAGCAAACGAAAGAAACAATCCTTGTACCCATGGAGCATGCCACTCATTAGGAGAGGAGAGACAAATATTTTCAGATACAACTATTTAAAGTACAATTCTGATCAGTGCTTTGTGAGTACAGAGCATATCTGTCCTCATCTGGGAGCTCAGAAAAAGCATCCTTGGGGAAATGATATTTCAGCTCCAGCAACAAATAGGAGAAGGAGTTGAGCAGGAAAAGATGGAAGAAGGAGCAAGGGTAGAAGCCATGAGACAGCTCATCGTGATAGCCAGAGCATCAGAAGGGAAGGAGAGAGAGCAAAATGCAATCAGCAGTAGTTTGGAGAAAGCAACATTTGAGGGCCTTAAAAGGCAAGTAAGAACAGCGGGCAGCCACTAAAAGATTTAACTGAAGAGAAAAGGGTATGGCAACTTACACTGTAAGAGCATTCCTGCTACTCTGTAGACTGTAGAAAGAAGGGAACATAGAGGCAAAGCATGGCATGGCAGAACCAGCTGGTAGATTATTACAGTGGTCCACGTGTTCAGGGATAATTTTTTTAAAAACAACGGTAAAATCATGACTCTCATACACATGTGATATCAACACGTGTCAAAGACTTCAAATCATTAATTGACAAGAGAACCAGAAAGGTATTACAACCAGTTCAAAGGAGAATTCAAAAGACCACGTTTATACGCAATAAAGGAAAGCAGAAATAAATTTACAATAGATGCAAAAATAGGTCTATTCCAGGAATAATAATCAATTGCCTTCCACCTACTTTGCACTTTTTATGGACAAGAATCATTTGCATTATTATCTGTTTTCTACAACTCTCAGAGTTGTGGAGTAGCTCACAGATAAGGGAAGGCCAATAACCCAGACGTCTGAACTGGAGGGACTCTCACTAATCTTTTTGCCTATCTTAAAGTTGTTCACATATTTTCCTAACTCAGATAATAGTGACTTGGCAAAAGGAGGTGTCAGAAAAGAGGGAGAGAAATAGACATTTTTAATATGTATAGGTAGTGGAATCAACAAGATTTGGTTTTTGATGACAAGGGGCCAGGGAGGGGACCACAAAGAAAATGTCCAGGGATGGAATTCAAAATAAATTCCTATGGAAGACACCATCAATTATCTATTTGCATTTTTCAGGACAAGGGCCCGACAACTCTAGGGAGGGACCCACGCTGCAGGGAAGCAGCAGACTCAACAATAATTCTATTTTAAACTCTACCACGATATACCAAAGGACGTGGACAAAAAAATAAATGAAATCAAATTCATTCTCTTTACTGGGACTTTTTTTCTCTTGTGCCAGCCTCTGGATTACCTAGTGACACCATGCCCAAAACTACCTTTTCCCTGCAAAGTGGAATTAAGCTGTATGGGGAGTCTATGGAAATCTCCCAGCACAGAATGTGTTATTCTCTTTCCTAACCAGCAGTGTGGAAGCAATGTGATTTATGGATTCAGGACAGCCAGGGGAAAGAAAGAACGTGGATGGAGTTCAATGTCCCTGCCATGGACTCTCCATCTCTTTATGTCCAATTACTCATAATTTCTTTGATAAGTTTGTTCTAGAACCACCAAATTTTCCTTCTACTTTGATTTCTTACTCCATGTCATCTGAAAGGAAATGTTTCCAGGGTCAGCTCTACTTTTGATACTTCTTCTCCAAACAAAATAAGCTTTTAGCTTCTGTGTCAGTTTACATAACTGGAACTGTTAAAATGTTAAAAATGTTAAAAATGATAATATTACCTGGTCTTTTCACTGTCTTGGCAATAATTAAAAGCTTCCTGGGGCACATAATTTACATGGGACTTAAAACCCTCACTTACTACTACAGAATAATATATGCATTATAAAAGTACAAATTTAAATATCAAGTTCATCAAGTAAACTATGCTGGTACTGGACTTTGTGTTACATGAGGTCTTTTTAAACATGTTAATCATCAGCAATAAATACTGAGCTACTTTTTTTTCCCCCTTAACATTTATTTATTTATTTGAGAGACAGAAGGCATGAGAGTGAGGAATGGGAAGAGGAAGAGGGAGAGAATCCCAAGCGGACTCCCCGCCGAGCGTGGAGCCCCATGTGGGGTTCAGTCTCACAACCGTGAGATCATAGCCTGAGCCGAAACCAAGAGTCAGACACTTCACTGACTGAGCCATCCAGCTTCCCCAATACTGAGCTATCTCTTGAGAGAATTCAGGTACATGACTCAAATGATCACTAGACACTGAGGAGCAGCCAATGGAAAAGAAGTCAAGGGACACTAGCTGCAGTTAGGATATTTTTAAAGCTCGGCAAAGCAGTGCTTGGGCCACACCGGGTAGGAGCAGCAGCTTTGATGCCACCCTTGCATCCATCAGTAACAGCTCCGGACCTACAGATGAAGAACACCTGCTGGGTGACACTCCAGCTCAACCATCTGTCACATACTGTCCAGGTACTCTCTCGCCTGAGCCAAACTCATGGCAACGCTGATAAAGGTAACCATTTTCAATTATTCTTTCCCAGTTGTCATCTCTATTCTACCCTCCACCTTGCCATGTCAGATTGCACTAGCTCTATTCTCATAAAGAGGGGTAAAAGTCTTTCTCCCAGTTTCAAATGTTCCCCAAACGAAGGTCTACCAAAACAACAATGCTTTCAAATGATCTTTAAAATCAGTCCTAAGGTAATTCTTTCCCAATGACTACACTGAGCTGCTAAAAAGTAGGTCTGCTTAACTTGCTCTACCTAGAAGTGACCGTATCATCCTCAAAAACAACCAGGACGGATAATCTTACACATTTGAGCACTTATAAAACCACTGGGATATAACATCTCCTACCCAGACGCTCTCAGTTGCTATAACTATGCTGCCCACAATATGGTCACATGCAGAGGGATATTTCAAAAGTTTTGAATAATGTCAAATCCAAGCATGCAGACGTTACCTCTGCCTCTAAAATAAAACAAATTAAAATTTCCCCCAAAATACCTAAATCTGCTCTAAAATAAATCCTACTCATAAAACCACAAATTATGCAAGCACTTCTATATTCTTGACCCTTCTGTCAAAGTTCGTTTTCACATTCCTTACATTCTCAGAGGCAAGATAAAACATCCCTCAACAAAAAACCTAAGAAAACATTGCAATCAAATAATCATCTGTAAACACTGGGATGTGAAGCAATTTTTAAACCATGCTGCTACACAAAGTAATCCTAAAACATTCTCACGTTGCCTCAAAGAAATACCAATGTTTATTTTCTTGACCTTTGCAACCTTCTCAAACAGAAAATTTTGAAAAAAGATAGCTCTTAATTAAAGTACCTTTCCTACTATTTAAAAGACTATGATGATGTTTCTCCAAGGAACCTTTATTTCTCCCCTTTCTAATGTGGAGTCCTGCAAATTTCCCTCCCACTTCAAACTTAAAGGACCAAGTTCCAATGTCAATAACCAACGGATAGTTATGTAAGAACAAGTTTGAAAAGAGCATTGCCAATTCCTTTGTAGGTTTGTCCTGCCCCTAAAAAGAATGTCATTCAAAACACTGATTATGTTCCAGGCGGTTAGAAATGCTGAGAAAGAGTAGATCCTCGGGGAAAGAGGTGAGAAAGTTCTCAAAAAAAGAACCACAGGCCAGATCATCATTATTAGCCACATCCACAGGTAGGAAAATCCCTAAACATTTCTGCATGGGGTAGAAAGGCTGCCTGAACAACAACTGGATGTAAGCCAGGCAAAGTGAAATCATCATCTGTCTAGCTAAGCGAACACAAAATTTGCCCAGTGATATATTCATTTCCTAAATGTACCCAGGATTCACAGAATCAAGAGCAGCAAACTATTGGCATATTACTGAAAAATGCCAGGTAAAAATTAAAAGCTGTTTATACCATGATGGTGTTCACACCATGAACTGCTTGTACCAAGATTTCCATTTAAATATATTTCAGAAGAGAATTTTTAAAAGTACAAATGTATCTGCATACTCAGAAGATTTCTGTTAGGTCACATGTCATGGGAAAATTCCTTGCACTTCCAAACAAACTCTGTCAATCAGAAAGAAGCATTTGAATCACCATCAAGTGTCTGAAAGTCTGTTACCTTTGAAAATCGTGCATTAATCCATTTGGTAAAAGTCTTCTTCTGCACGTCATTGTGTTCATCTGCGGAAGGGAAAAGGAGAGAAGGGAAATGAATGCAAGTCTGTACCTTTGGGAAGGGCTCTAAATACAATCATCCCCCTCATGGAAAATTTAAAATAGTAGTCCTCCTAAGGGTTCCTGAGGCACAAAGATCCACAGCTGAGAAAAAACAGGAAGGCTGAGGGAGTCTGCCCGTCTTCAGCAGGGGAAGCTAGGGCACCTTCCCCAGGGAGCTGGCCCACCCTGTCCTGAGCCTCAGCCATACTGCCACCAACCATTCAGTCCCCATGTGCGGGGCAGAGTCAGCACCTCCCCATCACACTATTCCACGTAATACTTTCTGTTGCATTTTGTTAAGTGAAATTTCCACGTGATAAAGACGTTAGCATATCCAAAACAAAAATCGAAGTTATCCACAAAAAAACCTAAAAAACTCACGATCTTCCTCATTTTTCGTACAAGTCCTACCCCTCCAGAACAGAAACTAGCATAAGGTTATTCCACAACCCCTGTTTTCCTGTAGGAAGACTAACAGGACAAGGTTTTAATGATCGCGATCTATAAATTACAGTATTTTACAAGTGGAGAAACCAGAGTCATTTTTTTTTTTAAATGATCAAGTTTGGTTTTGATGACAAATTCTTGTTCCAAGCCACAGCCAATAAAAATTGACTTTAAGAACTACAGCGTCCGGAATGTCTTGAAGATGGGCAGAATGATTTAGTGAAGCGCAAGGAAACCCTGTGATATATCAAACAGAACAAAGGGCTTTAGAACAAACTAGACCGCACCCCAATCCACTTAGCAGGTGACCCCTGGTAAATCACTACAATGCCTCCTCACCTCAGGTTCTCCTCTGTAAAAGAGAGATAAATAACACCCAGCCTGCAAGGGCATTTTGAAGATGAGTGAATCTGAGCGGAAACCACTTGGCAAAGAGCTGGCATTGAACTCTTTGTTATTATTATTGCTATAATCATTACTACAGTATACATGTAAACATGGCAGATAAATACCCATTGTGCCCTCTCTATTACTTCTAATGATATCCTCTTCAGTTGCTCCCCAGTTCTCTACTGCAACCAGCAAGAGTCACTGTTGGCTTACTGCCTGCAGAACAGCACATTAAAACCATCTCTGGTTCCAAAAGCTGCCTCAGGAGGATTTAGAACCATGCAGAAAGCTGTGGTTCTGTCTGCCTGTGTGCATGAACACACTGCCTGCCCCGGTCCCATCCACACTGCCGGGCTGCCTCTCACATCCTAACAGCAAGATAGTAACAGAGACGCCCCAGTGCGCCCTGCTCTCCGTGCATCAATTTCAAAGGGCTGCCTTCACGCTAGACCTCCTAAGGCATCTCTAGATGCCTTCTTCTTCTTCTAGCAGAAGTAGAAGTTCAGCCACCACTTCAAGTTTGTGATCTCTTTGGTCCTTCCTCCCTTCTGGAAGGAGAGTTTGTGATTAAAAGGTCATTCCTGAAATAAATAGGAGAGTTGCAACTCCAGAAAGGAGTGCCCTTTTACACATCCATAAAGGTAATTGGAGACTGACTCTGAGACACAAAGGGGGAAACTGGGTGAAAAACAAAACTGTTGTCTAAGAACCTTCTTGATGCTAATTGCACTGAGAGGTAGCCTGCTTTCCAGAAAGGACAATGCAGTCAGCCTCAGACCTGATTTCCGGCTTTCTACCATCGATCAATGCCACATATAAGCCATTTATTAACCAAGAGGACTTGCTTACACACTCTGAATGTCCCCACCTTGCAATCACGCCCAAGAGGGACAGAGCTGAAATGATACAGAGAATAGAAGTCAGCCACATACGTCATTCGTATATATCTATATATATATAGATATATATAAATAAATATATATTATATACATATAAATATATATATATTTATATAAATATAAAATATAAATCAGTGTCCAGAGCTCTTAGAAAAGCTAATTATTTGTCCCATTAACCTTAGAAAGGATTTTTGTATAGTTTACTATACATATATTCCATAATACTATGAACAAAAATACATATAAAGGTCATAAATATTAAAGTTTCCTAATTTTATAACATTCATCACACAAGCTGAAAATTTTATCACTATAAAAATGGGGAACATTCTTGGGGCGCCTGAGTGGCTCAGTGGGTTAAGCCTCTGCCTTCTGCTCGGGTCATGATCTCAGGGTCCTGGGATCAAGCCCCATATAGGGCTCTCTGCTTAGTGGGGAGCCTCCTTCCCACCCTTCTCTGCCTGCCTCTCTGCCTGTGATCTCTGTGTCAAATAAATAAAATCTTTAAAAAAAAATAAATTTTTAAAAATGGGGAACATTCCTAAGGATTGATATTAATGAATCTTGTTTTTTTCTTATCCTCTTTTCTGAGCATTTAACCTTCTTATTTTCAAAAATATTAAAATATTTAATAGTTCATATGATCCTCTCCAGATACAGACTGGACAAAGAAATGAGTATGTGCACCCTAACGAATGATAACTAAGGTTCTTCAACTTATCACATAAAGAAGGAAATCAAATTCTAAAAATAGATTTCTGGGGCGCCTGGGTGGCTCAGTGGATTAAGCCGCTGCCTTCAGCTCGGGTCATGATCTCAGGGTCCTGGGATCGAGCCCCACATCGGGCTCTCTGCTCAGTGGGAAGCCTGCTTCCCCCTCTCTCTCTGCCTGCCTCTCTGCCTACTTGTGATCTCTCTCTCTGTCAAATAAATAAATAAAATCTTTAAAAATAATAATAAAATAAATAAAAATAGATTTCTCCCATATGGAGATGTTTACAAAAATGAATAAGTTAATGTTTCTATAATAGTCTATGATCTTTGGGTCAAATCTAAGTTTGAATATGAGTCTAAGTAACCAATACGAAATAAAGTATGAGGTTGTAGAGATAAATTGTCCAGCATCCAAGCCTTTCAAAAATACTCCCAAATTTATAACACTCCTCTGTATTCATTTTCCTGACAGTTAAAAAAGGGGGGAAAAAGTTTAAATTTCAATAAGGCATTAATTCACATTTCCCTTTTCTAACACACACACACACATACACATACACACATACCCCCCCCTCTTATTTTCTACCAGAAAGGAATTCAGTAAAAAAACTGGAATTAGCCTGCAGCTTTTTAATTACGAGGTTAAAATGTAACAAATTTGGAACACTTAGAAAACAGTAGAAAACAGCCCTCTGCACCACAATTAAGGTAACAACACTGGCCCAGGTCCTGTTTCTGGGAGGTAAAAATATGCTAGCAAAGTGGTAGTAAGACAACTAAAAATCTCAGTCATGCAATACTGATCAATCATTTTGCCTTTCCTCGAAATTTATGCAGAACTTCAAAAGTCTCAAAGTCATTCAGCTCTCCATTATCAAACCAATTTGTCATTTAATTTCTCCAAAATAAAAATGTGCAGTCAATACCATCTTACATATAACTGACTTTTTTTACATAAATAAGTTAGTATAATTTACACTCTAATGTATTCATTCTGGTTCCCAAACAAGCATTGTCTTTAGATTTAGATTCGGATTTTCGAAAAACCCTTTAGTTTCTGAAAGCCTTTCAGGGCTTAGCAAATCTCATCCATTAATGACCTTTCTCCATTAAGGGGACAAACACGGGACTGAATTAGGAGAAGAAAAATGTGTTAAATCCCTTAAGGCTGATTTTCCAAATTCTTCCTCTAAATATTTTGCTCGTCTTAAAATGCTTTTGACATGCTCACACAGATCCAAGGGCCTTTGCTGCTGTCTCGCCTGGAATTTTATTTCTGTGATGGGTGAGAGAAGTGAAGCAAGAAACATCAACAAAACAGCCTGATAAATCTTCCAGGAAACTGGCTTGCAATTTTTTTCACTTCACCAGCTCAAATGCGTATCAAAAATTCTTTCAGCAGAACATAGCAACAAACCTCAATTTAAATCCTGAACTGGAAATGTAGCAGAGAAATTAGACTTGTTTCCCTTATGGAAACACCCAAGTCCTAGGAACACGGATACTTCTCTTAAAACCAGACTACTGTTAGCGAGAAAGCATTATCCGCCTATACATCTTTCAAAGCAAATGAAGAGAGTCCAATTGGCTGGCGATAACCTGAGTTCCATAAAATGCAGTTATGTAGAAAAAAAGTCCCTACACTTTAAGCCAAAAGAGAAATGTCTTGTTGGATGATTTAAAACTTGGATTGGCTTTATTAAAGCCTCTCATGAAATGCAACTCACCCTAGAAAGCCAGTTTCTCATTAGCAAAAGAGATTATTTCGGAAGGAATGAAAGCATTTCAGACCATACTCCCACTTCTTTTTCCGGCTACTGTATTTCATCAAGTCCAAAGAAACCCACCACCGGGGCTTAGTGAGATCTTGGGGTCTCCTACCCACTTGGTTGGCCTCTGAACACCACCAATTCACTTACTGAAACAACACGAATTAAAATGGCACATGGAAATATGTAAATATTATGTAACAATCTGCCAAATGTTACAAATATGCAGTCAAAGACGCAGAGACAAGAGAAGACAGACGGCTCTCAATTAGAGTGTATAAACTCCAAATTTGTTTCAAAATCTGACATTCTCAGAGGGCCTGGGGAAAAAAAAAACTTAAAAATGTGCTTTTCAAAATTGTCAAAACTACCTAAGTATATCTGGAGTTTAGATAATTAACATTTCAAATGTTATCTTCATATGTTTATCGCATTTATACTTTGAAGTTATTAAAGGCAAAAACCATTTGAAACAGACTTTCAGACTTCACGCTATAAGAAGCAAAGAACAACTCGATGGTCTCTTTGGCAGATGTGAAGGTGGGTGAAGTGACAAGAGGAAAACAACTTTACTTTGCAAGTAAGAAGCCTGAGATCCAGGGACGAAAGCTAAAGGAACTGTCCAGTATCACCCACTGCATAGTGTCAAGAGCCACAAACAGAACCAGGTCCCACTGGCTCCTAAGCCTGCGTGCAATGTATGCCAAGCACAAGGAGGTCCAAGTTTCATGGGGAAAAAGGCGTT